CCCCACCCTTGCCAGGCCTTCAGGGCAGTATTGTCTGTGTCCAAGGGCTATGCATATCCGCACATGAGTTCTTTGGTTGATCTCTTCCCAGGCCCCTCCTCCTCACTTCTCTCTGAGATTGACCCTATTTTATCCATAACCCTCACAAGGCTAATTTTTTCAATTAGGATATTTTTAGGCATACAAAAATAAGTTCAGAAAATAAAGAATCGAACACATCTATATGCTATATATTTAATAAAGCAGCTGTTCCTTGCTAGATCCCACACCTGGGCAGTTAAGCTTTCTTCCAGTTTTTCACGGCTGTAAACAACGTTGTGTGAAGCTGGGGATGTTCGAACCCTCGGCCCAGCAATCCAGGCACGTTATGAGGTACTGCCATTCTGTCCTGCAAATGCATGTCCATTGACAGTCCCCTCAGTAGGGCTTGGCGGCATCAGATTATTTTTTTCCCCATTTTTGCCAATATAATGAGTGTGGAATGACAAATTCCTCTGTTTAATTCACATGACATTGATTACCAGGGGGGAGGAACATGTTTTATTCTCATGTTTTGAGGCCACTGGTATCCTTCTGAGGATTGCCTGTTCATACCATTTGGCCTTTTCCATTGGAGCTGCTTATGAATTCTGGGCCAAATCTTTTCTTGGTTGTGTGTGTGCCAAATATCTTTCCACATCTAAGGTTTGTATTTTTCACTTTGTTTATGGTATCTTTAATACACAAAGGGATTTTAAAAATATTATAATGTAGTGAAATTTATTGATCTTTCGATTTATGGTTTGTGCTTCTGGTGTGTTTAAGAAATCTTTTCCTACCCTGAGAACATAAAAACATTCTGCTTAATTTTCATCTAAATAAAGTCATGCTTTGTCATATGTTAAGTCTTTAATTCATTTAAATATGGTTTGATGTAAGGACTCTAACTTATTTCTTCCATATGGATAACCAATTGTTCCAATGGTGTTTGCTAAAAGTTCTTATTTCCCCACTGATTTGAAATAGCATCTCTTCTATATACAAATTTCCATATGGATGTGGGCCTGTTTCTAGACTCTATTCTGTCTCTCCCTGAGCTAATATCCACTTTATTATTACTTAATTGAACTATAGTTAAGTCTTGCTATGGTGGTAGAATGAGTGAGCCCTCATAGGTTGATCTTCCTCTTCAAAAATTGCCCTGGCATTTTTGGCTCTTTTCTCTACCTTATACATATTTGAACCTTATACATTTTTTGTGAACTTCAAAAACCTCATTTAAATTGTAGTAGGATCACATTCAACTTATAAATTGCAGAAATTGTAACATTTTAGAAATTGATTACAAATCCATTAGTATTAGGTATCTTTCCACTTATTTAATCTTGAAGAATTTTTAATTTAAAATTTCACACATAAAAGTTTTCTACATCTTTTGGTAGATTTAGTCCTAGTACCTTTATATTTTTTATTGCTATTTCCACATATATTGTGTATTTTCCAAACTATATTTTTCTAGTTGCTCACTGCTGGTGAATAAAAATTTACTTTTGCATAGCCAGTGATCTAATCTCACTGGCCTTTCTTATTAATGTTAACAACTTGTTCTTAGGCCCTCTGCTTTTACAGTCATAAATTATTTAGAGGGTTTTTCCCTTTAAAATCCAAATATATGGTTTGGTTTTGATTGTTGCTTTTGTTGTCTAGCAATGGAGTATTCTCAAGAACGTGGTCTGTATAATTCATTGCTGTTTAACAAGAAACGCTCTGTGGTCTAATGTGTGATCTCTTTGTAAATGTGTCACGTATTCTTGGAAAGAATGTACATTCTCCGTATGGGTCTCTGAGCAAGCTTGCTGGTCTTGTCCTTCAGGTCTACAGCTTGGCTAACTTTTGATCATTTTAAACTATCCATTACTGAAAAAGATGTGTTAAGATCCCCTGTGACTATGAAACTGTCTATTTACCTTTGAAATTTTATCAACTTTTTGCCTCAGATAATTTGATGCTGTGTTTTAGGTGCCTTCAAGTTATAATTATCTGTTCCCAGTGAGTTGTCACTTTTTGTTTTTATTTAGTGACCTTCTTTCCCCTAATAATCCTTTTTTTCTTTCTTTCTTTTTTTTTTTGCTTCAAAGATAACCTTGTCTACTGTAATTATAACCACACCACTTTATTGGGGCTAGTATATTCTATAATTTTACATCCAACATTTTTTGTCCTTAAATTCTAACTATGTCGTTTTTAAAGCTATAGTCGGATTTTTCTAATCCAATACAACTGACAATCTGTCTTTCTAATTGAGAGTTTAATTTTCCTTTTTTTTCTGAATCCTGCTATATTTGAATTTCTTTGAGTCATCTTGTTTCATGTTTTTTACTTAACCTGATTTTTCTCTGATTCTTTTTTCCTTTCTTGCATTTAGTTCATATTGACCACATTTTTTATATTCAATGGTGTTCTCTCTACTGGTTTGAAAATTATACAAGTTTTCATCTTAAGTGATTACCTTTATAGAACTTTTAATAAGCATAATTGACTTAATAGTCTAAAGTTAATAAATATTTCCACCTTTCTCCCCAAAATGCCTGGATGCCTGACTTCTGCTCATTTCCTGCCCATCTTACATACTGTTGTGCCAGTGCCTTCATTCCACCATGTTTTTCTACTCTCCAATTAGTCTTTTTTTATATATTAAATATTTGTTCAACTCTGTCTAATATCACACATCTCACTGCTTCTTTTTAGGGTCAGTTTCTTCCGAAGTACATTCTTGACTAATTCTTTCAGCAAAGATCTGTAAGTGATAAACACTGTTCATTTTCATTTTCCTGAAAATGGGTTTTTTCCCCATATCCTTAAATGATAGTTCAGTTATAATGCAAGTTGATGGTTATTTTCCCTTAGGACTATTGACTATATTATTCCACTATCTTTTGGCTTCTGTTGTTACTGTTGCAAAGTTCTGGTGGACAGTCTTATGCTCATTCCTTTGAAGGCAACAGGTCTTTTATGTACCAGTGCTTCTAAGATCTTGCCTTTCTACTTGGTGTTGTTTTAGCTACATCATGTTGTGTCTAGTGGAGAATTTTGTATTACTAACTTGCTAAGGTTTGTGTTTCTAATTCTGGAAAATTCTCATTTATTCCCTTGAAATACTGCCTGACCCCCATTCCATTTTTCTCTGTTGTTTCCTTCTAGAACACCTGATGGGCATGTGTTGGGCC